TATATATATATACATACATACATATATATATTATATATATATATATATATATATATACATACATACATACATACATACATACATACATTACATTACATTACATTACATTACATTACATTACATTACATTACATTACATTACATTACATTACATTACATTACATTACATTACATTACATTACATTACATTACATTACATTACATTACATTACATTACATTACATTACATTACATTACATTACATTACATTACATTACATACATACATACATACATACATGCATACATACATACATACATACATACATACAGACAGACAGACAGACATACATACATACATACATAAATACATCCATACATACATACATATACATACAATATATATCTATATATATATACATACATACATACATACATACATACCTGCCTATCTACCTACCCACCTACCCACCCACCCACCTACCTACCTACCTACCTACCTACCTACATATATACATACATACATACATACATACATACATACATACATATACATACATACAGATACAGATACAGATACAGATACAGATACAGATACAGATACAGATACAGATACAGATACAGATACAGATACAGATACATATACATATACATATACATATACAAGTGGCACGTGTGCCCAGGCTCATACAAAAAAACTGAAAGGGCGTTTGAAGCAGGAAGACACCATGACTGCGGGATCGGAGATGGAGAAGGGGAAGCTGGGGAAGCGCCGCCAGGGCGTGCCTAAGAGAAGGGGAAGAGGCAGGAGGTGAACGCAGAAGAATCTAAGATCGAGGTCGCACTCGAGCGCAAGTGGGGTTGCCACACCTTGCGACGTGTGTACCAGGGCCCCCCAGGAAACCTCAGGAGGCCCGACTTGGATACCGGAAGAGGCTCCATGAGGCCCCGGGATTGTGAGTGTTGTGTGTGTGGTGTGTGCTCTGTGTTGTGCGTGTTTTCTGTGCGTTGTAGGTGTGTGTGTTATGTTTGTCTAGCGTGTGATGTGTTGGGTGTGATTTGTGTCTCTGTGCGTGCATGTAGTTCTGAGGTCCCAGGAGGCCCCAGGAGGCCCCAGGCGGCCTCAGGAGGCCCCAGGAGACCCCAGGAGGCTCTAGGAGGCCCCAAGAGGCTCCAGGAGGCCGCAGGAGGCCCCAGGAGGCCCCAGGAGGTTCCAGGAGGCCCCCAGGAGGCTCCGAGGCAGGGTCTGGGGCACCAAAAGACACAGAAAGCCCTAGGAGGCCCCAGGAGGTTCAAAGACGCCCCCAGGAGGCTCCGAGGCGGGGTCTGGGGTACCAGAAAGTACGTCGGGGCTCGATTTTGGGAGGATGTCTCAGGTGGAACCGCCATTCTGTGAGAATCGGAGTCAAAATTATTAAAATTACAATGTGTTGTTGAAGGTTTATGTGTACGATCTGCGTGAGGGGTGCCACCGATTTTCAGAATTTCGAGGATGTCCTTAGCGAAACGGCCAGAAAAATCGCGAACGCGGCGCCCCGCGTACGCATCAATCGCCTCTGAGCTCTACTCCCTCGGAGAGGTGCGTGTGAATATATATATATATATATACACACCTACATATATAATATGTAATATAATACAATATAATATAATATAATATAATACAATAAAATATATAATATAATATAATATAATATAATATAATATAATATAACATAATATAATATGGTATAATCAAATACAATATATTATAATATATCATAATATAATACAATATAATATACTATAATATAATATAATATAATATAATACAATATGAAATAATTTAATATGGTATAATATAATATAATATAATATATTACAGTATAATATAATATAATACAATATAGTATAATATAATATGATGCAATAGAATATAATATAATATAATGTAATATGATATGATATAATTTAATATAAATAGTATAATATAAATAATATATATATATATAATAATATAATATAATATGATGATAATGAATATATAATATATTATAATATGATATAAATATAATATAATACAATATAATATAATATATTATAATATAAGGTAATATAATATTTTATAATATAGTAAAATATAATATAATATAGTATAATGTAATGTAATATGATATATATAATATAATATGATATAATATAGTATAATATAATTTAATATCATATAATATAATACAATATAATATAACATAATATAATATAATATAATATAATATAATATAATATAATATAATGTAATATAATATGCTATAATATAGTATAATATAAAATAATAAAATATAATATAATATATGTGTGGGGGGGGCAGGCGGGGGGGGGGAGCGAAAGCTTACTGAATTAAGGAGAAGTCTCTTTCCCTCTTCATCGGCCAAAGCTGTTGACAGAGCTTAAACTCCGATGGGCACTTGTATTTAGATTTACAGAGGCCTCTGCACGGAGCTCGAAAGGTATACTCTCTTTTGCACGGACCGACCCCCCCACGCCAGAGCACAGACCGCACCCCGAGGCCAGAGCTGGATTCCCAGACCACCATCCACAGACTGGGGTCGACCACCATCCGAAAGACCGGGGCCAGAACGCTCCACGGCCTCGGGGGCCAGGGGAGGCTCGACGGCCTTGGGGGGGGCCCAGCAAAGAGAACCCCCTGAGAGCCCAGCAGGACCTTGCCCATGAAGCTCGAGCTCTCGCGAGACATAATTTCACTTGCCACTTAGGGCGGTATGTGGGTGGGCCAGAACAGCTGCCATGCAAGCGAATGCGGCCGATGTGGCACGCTACCCCCCCCGACGCCCACGCATCTTCCGTAAACGTATACATGCGCGGGGCAGGCGGGGGGGGTGAGCGAAAGCTTAATGAAATAAGGAGAAGTCTCTTTCCCTCTTCATCGGCCAAAGCTGTTGACAGAGCTTAAACTCCGATGGGCACTTGTATTTAGATTTACAGATGCCTCTGCACGGAGCTCGAAAGGTATACTCTCTTTTGCACGGACCGACCCCCCCACGCCAGAGCACAGACCGCACCCCGAGGCCAGAGCTGGATTCCCAGACCACCATCCGCAGACTGGGGCCGACCACCATCCGAAAGACTGGGGCCAGAACGCTCCACGGCCTCGGGGGCCAGGGGAGGCTCGACGGCCTCGGGGGGGGCCCAGCAAAGAGAACCCCCTGAGAGCCCAGCAGGACCTTGCCCATGAAGCTCGCCAACTCTCGAAAAAAACACCGAAGCTCTCCATTCTGTGTTTTTCCACTGGCCGCAGGCCGAAGAAATATCAAGACTGGCGACGGCAGCTCTGGCAGCAGCTCGCACCAGTCACAAAAGATTTATTGCAGCAGGTTACGGGCTGCAAAACGCACAGACACGAGACAAGTCGCCCGACGGCAGGCAGTACTGGCGCGGTACTCCGCGCCTCAGGCTGCAAAATGATAGGGCGAGGTGCTGGCAACGAACTGCTGGAGCCAAGCGCGGAACAAGTCAAGGAAGGCGCGCGCTGCGGGGCTAAAGCCGGCACACACGCCGCAGCTGTAGAGGGCGACTGCGCCAACCAGCGGGCCGTCGAGCGCGGCTTGCTCCCGCGCGCTCTTCTGGCGAGACGCGCTGGCCCAGGGCAACGACACGCGCCTCGGCCACGGGGATTCAGAAAGATGATGCGTGCACAGCTTCAAATCCTCGCCAGTGCGAGGACAGAGGTGGAAGGCCACGAGCAGCACGGCCGCGAAGGCCACTCTTCGACGGGTGGCGCTTAATCCGCGAACGCCGTGCAGAACTGGGCAGGCATCGGCGGCGCGCGCTGAGGGATCTCCAGTCTTCTAGACTGTCAGCAGCAGCTAAGCCACAGGATAGCGGCGCCTTACCTCAGCGCGTGCTGCACGCCGCTGAGGGCGTCATTAGCAAGACTATGTGTGCACCCACAAGTGCACAAGGTAAACACGCCGGCAAACACAATAACGTTCTACGTCAAAGGCAGCGGCAGACCATTGGCAGCAAGGTAGCCAACATAAAGCTGAGCGCCAGTGTCGAGGCGCGCATCCTGGCGTTTTCTCCGTCTCTCCTGCCCAGCTCTGGCAGCGCGGCGGTCAGCAGGGTCACTCGCTTCCCCTACCGCGGAGACGCGGGGGGGGGCGTCCGCGGGGCGGCGAGCCGACGACGTGAAGCCGAAGACCGCCTGCGCGCCGATCGCCAGTTCCCACGCCGAGAAGGTCCGCATCACCATGGAACACAGGACTGCTGAAGCGGTGCTTGGACAGCGCACCGCGTTGACTATGCTGCCGAGCAGGTGCAGGAAGACGCACTGGCGGCGGCGCCTTGACCGCTTCGCCAGGGGAAACCTCATCGGCGCGCCCTGGCACCCGAGAGCGTTGACGTATTTCGCTGTATCCCACAGTAGCTGCCTGGTGGGCACCACTGCCCAATGCCTGGGGCGCACTCTTCCAGCGGGAAGATCTCGTTGAGCGTCTCCCAGGCCCCAGCGGTTCTGATGTACGCTCCGTTGTTGCGGGACGCCATGACGAGCCTCTGACGATGCGTCTGGACCCGTCCAGCTCGCATTACTCCTCCACGTCAGGCCTCGCAAACTCTGTCTAGAGGATGTTGCAAGGCACGCCTGGCCGGGCCCACAGTGGCAGACGAGCAGGGCCCCGCGTAGCGACTCCAACCTCTGCAGGAGAGCTGATTGCATGCGGATCCAACCAGCGAACAGGGCAACAGCGCCCTCCCGTGACCTCACGGAGATCACCGAGAAGGGGGGTTGCCTCACTGCGAGGCAGCCAGGGTCCACTGCCGAGACACACGACCCACGTAGATGGGACCGCCAGCGCGTCCAGCATGGCGCGCAGGCCCTCGTCGATCTCGGAGCGGCCACAGCGCAGCGACGGCACATCGCCGGCCCACGGCATCTTGCCGCCAGCCCACGCTCGCGCACTCTCGTGCAGTACACCCAGCGAGGGCACTGGGACCAGCCGCCCAGCACCGAAGGCCCAGTGGCTGATCATCCGGCCACCACCTCGCACTGGAAGGAGTTGCCCACGAGCGACTGCTGAAGAGCATCGTACTTGGCGGGCTCGGTCTCCGCCTCGCTGCTCATCATGCGCGGCACAGTGTGGTCCTCCGGGCAGACCATCAGCTTCTCTCGTATCCTGGCGTCAGGCGGCTCGACGCGGTGGTCCGCCTGGTGCATGCACCACTTCCACGGAACCTGCAGGGCGGCGAAGCGGAGCCCGCCGCCTCCCAGCGCGCCAGCTCAGCAGCGCTGCACTCCTCAATGTCCGCCGACCTGGGGCGCAGCTGCGAGCACGGCATCCAGCGCCCGAAGGTCGGCAGCAGCTCCCCCACAGCGGGACCTGAACACGCAGCCCCGGCTCGGAGCCACTCCTCGAGCGGCGGCCGCTCCGTCTCCAGCACCGCCCCGCAGGCACACCGCACGTCCTGGGTCTTGGCCCGCACCACGACTGGCTCAGCCTCGAACAACGGCAGGAGGCCCCGCGAGACCCAGTGGAGCCGCGGACGTCGGACCCAGCCGACATCCAGCCTCGATCTCCGGCAGGGTGCGGCCGAAGAGCTGGTTCGGGCGCATCACGTCGCACTCGGGCACCGACGTGGCGTTCTCCCAGAGAAAGACGATCGACGCCTCTGGCATGGCCGCCGCGGCATATCCTCGATCCGCAACATGTGGCCGGCCAGGCCCGCCCGCGGGTCGTCGAGGCCCTGCCGAGCGACGTCGGACCCGCGAAGACCTGGCACGGGAAGCCACCCGCCACCAGCACACACGACACGCGGCCTCGGGCGCGCAGCAGGGCTGCCGGGGCCGCCGGGTCCGCCTTCGTCACGTCCCCCAGGTGCTGCCTGCTGGGGCAGCTGCGCCGAGTCATCCGCATCGCCGTGGGACCCGAACGGTAGGCGCACGGCAGGGACCAGTCCGAGGACCTCGGAAGCCCGGCACCCGCCGACGATCCCGCCGAAGTCACTCGCGCGGCCGGTCACCTCCTCGCACGCGGCGTCCGCTGGCCGCCGCCGCCCCTCGGGCGGCGCGCGCCCACGGTCGGAGAAGGCCTTGCCATAGATCACGGCGCCAGCGGCCTCCGAGGCATCCGACGCGGTCCTCAGGGGGTCGACCTCGAGGCGCGGATCTGCGACGCAAAGCCCTGACAGCGCAAGGCACATCCAGAGATCCTCGACCAGGCTCACGCTGAAGCGGCCGCCAGTGCGAGGGCTCGCGGGCCGCTTCCGGGCGAGGACCAAGCTGGCCGCCAGCGGCCGCCAAGAAGAAGCGAACACGAACCCAGCGGCCCAGCAGAATGCGCACCGCCCGCCTCCTGGCCCGTCTCTAGCTCAGCGTCCACAGCGCGAGGCTGGCCATCTCGGTCAGGCAGTCCGCGGAGGCCGCCGAGCGCCCTCGACCAAGTCGACGGGCACCCCCAAGGTTGTCGTTCGCAGCACTTGATGGACACCTTCGGCCGGCGACCCCTGGGGGGGGGCCGCAGCCGCGTAGCAGGCGAGGCCCACGGAGATGAGCTCGGGCACCGTCCATCGCAGCGTCGCGGCCGCGGACTTGCTCACGATCTTTACGACCTCCAGGCTGTCAATGTAGACCATCCGCGTCGCACGGCATGGCTTCTCCACGCTGAACGGCAGCCGTCGGCGTCGAGTGACCTCCCCGCTGAGCGGCAGCCCGCGAGGGACAGAGGTACTCCGCCGCAGCAAGTTACGGTGGAGGTGGGTCGTCACCCCCACGGAACTGATCCAGCCCAGGCCGACCACCCGCAAGCAGATGCGCGCGGTCCCGCCGTCCTTCAGGCCAAGCAAGTCCGAGGGGACGGCCGGGCCTACAACGGTGTAAGACCACCGCGCAGGCGACCCGCGAAGACGTAGAAGAAGGCCTCCTTGTTCGCGCCGCTCCACAGCAGACCCTCCGACTCGGTCAGCACCAGGCCGTTCAGCTGGATCATGGTCGGGAGCTCAGGGGCGACCCCCACGATGCACTCCTGGCATGCGTTCGACGGGATAGGCTTGGCGATCAGCCTCAGGGTCGGCCTGCGCCCGCGCTGCAGGCCGCGGGCACGTCGTGCAACTCGGGCACCCCGAACGCCCCGTGCACGCCCGGCGGCACCAGCCCGTCCAGCCCCTGCTCCAGCGTCAGCCAATGTGGCGCCGAGATCTCGCCCCCGCCGCAGACGATCTTGGATCCTTCAGCCGCACTTCCAATCAAGATCTGGCGACAGAGCCGACTCGGCCCGTGTAGCCAAGTGGAGGCGGCGACCGAGAGCGGCCAGGGCTGCCTCCGGCGCGGTCTAGGCCGGACCTCGGCAGGGCCTGGCCAGCTTCGGGGAGCGGAACCAAGCCCCCCAGTTCAGCGTCAGGTCAGCGACCACCCGCCTGCAGTGTAGTCCTTCCCACTCCTTGTCGCTAAAAGGGGTCCTCGCCCTGCTGGACGATCTGGGACCTGGTGAAAAAAGGGTATGGTAACGGCAACAGATCTCGCTGACGCCGACCCCCCATGTCGGCCGAATGCTCGCGTGGCTTTATCTCGAGGGAATATCCAATGGAGCGACCGAAGGAGCCTGGGAACTCGCGGACTACGTTCAACATCATGGGGCCCACGTCGAAAGGTTCTCACAGAAGGTCACTCGCCGCGCCAGCCCACGGGCCCCACTCTGCCAGCGGATCTGCCCTGTCACAGCCGGCGCACGTGCTGCAGATCGGCGGGCACGGCGAGGATGCTGGGCGGCGCGCGGTGGCAGCACCATCACGCCCAGGAACCAGTCACGAAGACGGCGAGCGCAACGGCGAAGTCCAGGGCGGTCTGCACGAGCGGGCAACCTCGGCACACGCGGTCACATCCGCACGCACCCCGCCAGCGCCGGCACCACCGGCTCGCTGCCTCACTCGCGCCGCAGGAAGGCCGCCTCGGCCTCGGCCCCGGCGCCTCCTGCCCCCACGGCGGCGGTCGAAAAGGAGGGGGAGCCTGGCCTCCTAGCGGACCTTGCCGCGGGCCCGCTGCCGCCGCAGCCGCGGGCCGGTCCTGCCTGAAGACGTGGCGCTCCGAGCTCGCCGCCAGAGAGAGACGCGCCTCGGCTCGTCCGCCGCCCTCAGGTGCGGGCTGGCGCCTCGAGGCGTCCTCAGCGAGCCCGGGGGTGGCGACCTGCCCGCACTGCCTGAGCACGCTGCGCCTGGAAGGCCCGCGGGCGGGGCTGCGCCTGGGGCCCTGCCCAAGGCCGAACTGGGCCTCCCGCCCGCAGGGGAAGATGCGGCCACGGCCGCGCCCGCGGCTCCTGCCGCGACCGCGGCTCTGCTGGTTGCTCGGCGAGGGCGAGTCGGCTCAGCCACTTCCGCGCCCGCCTCCTCGGGTCGGACTTGACGCTCGCCCTGGCCCCTGCCACCGAGCTTGCCGCAGCCCTTGGCGTCCAGCAGCTTCCTGCGCAACATCACCACGCGCCGCGCCAGGTCCTGCTCGCCCATCGAGGCCAGGAAGAGCCGCGCGTCCGGCACGATCCCAGCTCGCTCGCCACCCGCCAGAACGCGTCGGCCAGTGACAGCTCCAGAACCTCGAACCGCTGCACAGCACTCGCACAACTCCGCCAGGCATCACCCCCCAGCGAGTCCAGCACGGTCGCCAGCACCTGCAGCACTCGCTGAGTGTTGATCAGCATATGCCCTGGAGGGTGATGGCCGAACACCACGACCTGCAAGTATCCCATGACCTTCGCACGAGCCTCCGAGCCGCCAGCCCCTCCTCCCGCAGACCCCTGACGCGGCCGATGTTCTTCATCATCGCCTCGTCGTGAAGGGCACCTGGGCGCTTCGCCACCAGCAGCCGCACGCTGCCGACGCAGGAGGGGGGCCTCGGCAAAACGCGACTCACCGTCGTCGTCCCTGTGCGAGCCTGGGGCGCCCCGGGGGCAGCGTCGACCGCGGCCGCCAGCGGCTCGACCAGGCGTCGTCGCTGCAGCCTGCGCGCGCGCCGCGGCAGCTCCCGCCAGGCGGTCGGGGCCCGGGCCTCCGAGGGGGGCGGCCCCCGCCAAGGCCACGCCGCCACCGCGCCCGCCGAAGATGCTCGGCCGCACCCATGGCTCCACGATCGCGCGGTTCAAGCGCAGCCGCAGCCACTCGACGTGCGGGACTCCTCGGCCTGGCCCGGCGGGCTCCCCGCACAGTGCCGGCCCCTGCCCGCGCGAGCGCAGGAGGCTGCAGGCCCAGCGCCGCGCGGCGGGGACAGGCCATCCAGCCGCTTCGCCTCGACCACCAGCGACGCTCTCCTGAACTGGGCGCATCGCACTGCTCAGAGCGGCACGTGGCCCCGATCTCCTCTTACCTCGAACAAGGCAGCCCCGCTGATGCCCCCAGCTGTGATGAAGGTCACGAGCACGAGAAACGCACCTCGGCGCCAGGCGGCACCAATCAGGGCCACGGGCTGCCGCCACGGACCGCCCACGAGAGGTCCCACCCGCGCGCCGCCCGCGGGGGCGACCAACCCGCCTGCCACCGCGATCGGCAGTCCACGGATCGTCGGCCCCCAGGTGCCGCACGCGGAGGAGGGCCACCAGGGGGGGGGGCCGACGCCGCCGTCCGCGAGCGCCCCCCACCAGCGCAGCGTCCACCTCGCCGAGGGGAAGCCTCCACCCCAGGCACGGCGCCGCCAGCCGGGGGCGCCTCAGCACCCGCGCCGCTTCCGAGGTCGGGCAGGTCGGGCAGCGCCGCCAGGCCAGGCACCGCAGACGCGCCAGCACCGCTGCCGGCGGGCGCGGCCGCCGTAGCTCCGCCGACCGCCGCAGCCGCCGCCAGGCCGAGCAGCCGGCGGGAAGGCGGCGGCGCCTCCACCTCTTTCCGCGGCTCCTCGCCCGAGGCCGCCGGCGCCGCGCCCTCGGCCGCGGCCGCGCGCTCGGCCCCAGGGCTTTCGCCTTAGCCTTAGCCTCGGCCCTGCCCCTGGCGACGGCCCTCGCCTTTGGCGATCTCGACCCCCCAGGCCGGCGAGCGCGAAGAGCAGCGCGCCCGAGAGCCGGGCGGACACGAGCAGCACCGCCCTCTCCTCCACGCCGAGGCGGCGCGCCACGCCGACTGCTGGGTCAGCCCGATGACGTAGCCCAGCTCGCAGACCTCCAGGAGGGTTCCGCCTTCGGCCAGGGCCAGCGACTCCCCTCGCCCGAGGGGTCCAGCGCACCAGCCGCAGAAGCACACGGGCGGCGGGCGCGGCACGGTGGTCCTCGGGGGCGGACCTGCCCTCCCTGGAGGGCGCAAAAATTAGCCAGAACAGCTGCCATGCAAGCGAATGCGGCCGATGTGGCACGCTACCCCCCGACGCCCACACATCTTCCGTAAACGTATACATGTGTGTGTAGATGCATATGCGAAAATACATACACATACATATACATATATCTATAAATATACATATACATAAACATTACACCTAGTCATACGTATACACAAACATGCGCATAGACGTATACATGTACATATACATATACATATACAGATACATATACATATACATATACATATACCTATGCATGTGCAGATACATATACATATACGCATGTATATACCTATACATATACATGTACATATACATATACATATACATATACATATACATATACATATGCATATACATATACATGTACATATACGTAT